TATATGGTCCTCACTGAATATATGGGTATAAAACTTCTAAGGCAAAATTAATTTGGGGGGGATGTAAAGAAATGATTCAATTAAATAAGCTTTACAGCTCCATCCAGTTCTGAAGTTCATGGGTCTGCATTTATGGGTAAAGTTAGTCTTCTCTGCCATGTCCATATTCCTTCCAGCACTGGCCAGTGTGGCTCAGGAGTTGAGTGTTGACCCAAGAATCAGGAGGTCACGGCTTGATTCTGAGTCAGGGCACATGCCCAGGTTGTGGGCTCAATCCCCAGTAAAGGGTGTGCAGGAGACAGTTGATGGATGATTCTCTCTCATCACTGATGTTTCTCTCTCTCTCTCCCTCTCCCTTCATCTCTGAAATCAATTTATTTTTTAAAAAATTAAATTAAATTATCTCTTCCTTAAAAAGGTCTCAGAAGTAGACCGCAGAACCACTGACTTCCAAGGATTTTATTTAGGAAAAAAGGATGAAATTTAGTTTATAAATTTCTTCTAGAGATTCAGTCCACTTTCTCCCCCTAAACGTATAATTATGAAGGGAAGTAATAACATTTACTGCAAAGAGATTTAGTAATTCTGGCAGTACTTCATTAATCACTTAATCAGTATTCAAGCAGAACTGATGTCCTTGACATATATAATCAATCTTGATTCCGCCCGCATTTGATTTTCATTCTTTTTGAAATCTGGATACAGACACTAAGGATAGTGGCTTATTTTCACATTATGTTTTTGTTTCAGAAAACCCATATATGCATATAATGATAATCAGAATATTAATACCTAGGTTGGGTCTCCCCATAGCTCATTTGAAAACAATTGTTTTCTCTTCAGTGAATTTATGGAGAAGAATGCTGCTAGGACCAGATTCTATTATAGTTGAATGGGAAAGTGGGCTTGGGTCATTTTTTAGCTCAGCATGACATAGTATTCTTTTAGAGATGACAGGGTTATTGTTATTGATAAGCCAGAGCTACTTGCTTTGATACATTCTGAAGAATTTTTCCAAAGCTACATTCTAAAGGCAGCTGGGCATAGAAAGGTAATAGCAGCCCAAAGCTGAGTGGCAAGGTTGTTTGTCTAATACCTTCTACTTTGGAAAGGTATTTTTATGATCACTGGAGTAACCACAGATGTTCTGATTCTACCACTCCTTTTCTCTTAACACTTCATAATTTGCATGTTTAAAAACATTATTCACCCCAAATGTTATTGGTATTTAATTTCCATATCCACTTACAAACCACACCCATCAACTGCTTGTTGACATCATATGTTTCTCTCTTCCCTACAAAAGTGCTGCAATATAGACTTTACAAATAGATAGTGTAAAAGATGAACGAAGATTTAAATCACAGTTGCACATATAGTAGAACAAACAAGACAACAATTTTGTTATCTGGTTGTTTGAAGAATATGTTTCCTCCATGAAAGTGATATCTTGGTATTTAAGGATTGTTTGAAACTAATACTTCTGCACCCACTGTATGCTACAGAAGCTAAAGTAAAAATGAGCTTTTGTTCTAATGATATAAGAAGAGAAGTCTTTGGGGGGTGCTCAGATTAGCACTCTATAGGTGTTCAACTAAATCTATAGCTGGATCTACAGATCAAGAATCAGGAAGCCAGAGGGATAATAATGACAACAATTCACATTTACTGAGGTCTTCCCATGACGAGGTAGTGTGTGGCGTGCTTTGCATGGATTAGAATGAAATCATATGAAATCTTTCTCTGCCTAACTTACTTCCCTTAGCATGATATTCTCAAGACCCATTCATGTTGTTGCAAATGGCAGTATTTTATCATTTCTTATGGCTGAGTGGTATTCCATTGTACCACATATTCTTTATCCAAACCTCTATTGAAGGACACCTTCATCATTTCCATGTCTTGGGCTCTATGAATAATGCTGCAGTGAAACAGGGGTGCATGCATCTTTGCGAATAAGTGTTTTCAAATTTTTGGGGTAGATGTCCAGAAGAGGGTTTTTTTTAAGCTCACCCAAGGATATATTTATTGATTTTTAGAGAGAGGGGAAAGGAGAGTGAGAGAGACATAGTTGTGAGGGAGAAACATTGCCGGGGTTCATGTTCCGGTATTAAGAAGGGTTAAGCAATCTGGAGAAGGGACTGTGTATAACTTAAGCTTTTAATGGAATACTCTTAACATTCCTATGAGACATATTTCCAGTTCTCAGAGGAAAGGTGAGGCTCACAGAAATCAAGACATTTGCCCAAAGTTACAAGGCTGGTCTGTGGCAAGTCTGCCTGATTCCATAGCTCTCATCCACTAGCGAGGTAGCCTAGCCACCTATCTTAGGAATATAAGCAAACCCAGAGGGCTGAAGTTCAGCCAGTAAGTTGCAGAGCTGGGTATATTCGAACATATATATTAGATAGAAGCCAAACTACAGAACAATTATAGTAAAATAATTATCCTTTAGAAAAAAAAATGAGTGGAACTCTGGGCTAGAAAGTAATTAGTAGATTACAATAAAAATGAAGGTGAACATTCTATCCAGGCATGAAAAGGTGAAAAGGAGAGTTGCAGACAAGGTTAATTATCAGAATCCATATCACATGGCAAGAGGCAGATTTGATCTTGAATGACTATCACTAATAACCATACAGGCATGGCCTTCATTAGGAAAACAAATTTCCGGATCTAAATGAAATCTCCCTAAAACCACTCATTCTCCCCCCAGACTGCACTACACACTCCCTTCTCTTTTGCTCTGATGTCTGGTGATCAAAACAATTTTCTGACAACAATTCAACTCCTTAAATGTATATTTATAAGTGGGATTATCAGATTATTAAATGAAGTTAGCTTTCATGTATATATTGACAGCCGTTTTAACAATGTGTTAAGTGATTTTCATTATTGTAAATCAGCTTCTCTCGGCCTCAGTAACTTTGAAAAAGAAAACAGAACTTTCACTAAAAAAACAAAACAAACAACAACAAAAAAAAACAAAAACGAAAAAAGCATAATTCCCATGTGCTGATATGTGAGGAGGCTCATTCTACACTGTTCCAAGTTGCTAGAAGACCTCTGCCTGTCCCTGCTATCCCATGGCTACATGACACGACTTGCAGTAAACTGCAGCTATTTTAAGGGAACCTGATAATGTCCCTTCAGATATTAGAAGATTGGAAAGGAAGTAACATATAAGAGAAGAACCTAGCTAATGAGAGAACAAAAGAGCCCTTGGACCTGACCAGACACTGGGCTGAGTGACCTCAGCAACCAGGGCCTAAGCAGCACCTGCCAGCATGTTTAATCACCATGTTCAGGACTGTCCATGCTTAGATATGATTTCCACCTTCCGGAGGACAAGTCCATAATTGTTATCCTATATAATAAAAGCCTAATATGCTAAGTGTCCAGTTGTCCGGTCTGCCATTCAACCAATCAAAGCATAATATGCTAATGCTATGCTAAGGCTGCTCAACTGCTTGCTATGACATGCACTGACCACCAGGGGGCAGACGCTCTGACCAATAGATTAGCTTGATGCTGAGGTCCGGCCAATTGGGACTGAGCAAGATGGGCCAGACATGCCCTGGAGCCCTCCTGCGGTCTCTCCCCAGCCCCGATTGTGCACCAATGGGGTTCCTCAGCCTGGCCTGTGCCCTCTCGCAATCCAGGACCCCTCGGGGGATGTCAGAGAGTCAGTTTTGGTCCGATCTTACAGGCCAGGCCGAGGGACCCCAACTGTGCACAAATTCATGCACTGGGCCTCTGGTCTATATATATAAAAGCCTAAGTGACTGAACGACCAGTCGCTATGATGCACATTGACCACCAGGGGGCAGATGCTCAATGCAGGAAATGCCCCCTGGTGGTCAGTGCACTCCCACAGCGGGAGTGCTGCTCAGCTGACTCATGGGCGCCAGATGCAGGACTCACGGCTGGCTGCCACAGCCTGGAGACTGCAGCAGAGCAGCAGCAAGCCTACCAAGTGGAGGTAGCAGCAGGCACAGTGGGGCAGGGATGAACAGGAGTGGCAGATGGCATTGGGCTGCTGGTTTTGGCCCGATCTCTGCAGGCTACTCTGAGGAACCCCACCAGTGCACAAATCCATGCACTGGGCCTCTAGTTTATAATAGGTGTTTTCCAGGCCCTGTCAGCTTTTCTCAGAGAATTCACCCAGATCCCTCTTTCTGCTCCAGGGAGTTGGAAGTTCAAAGCTCTATCACAAAATGACTACTTTTGGCACATCTCTATGTGGCCTGTGTGCCTTTGCTGCCAACATGGTGCTCTTACACCTTTTGTGTAGCTAGGTGTGTGGCCTCAGCTAGTGTCCTGGCATCTATCTGTTCCCACCGGTCCCACCCAACAAGGCTGCTCCTACAAAGAGGCCATCCCTATAGCAAAGGTCCCCACTATTCCACTCCTGATAGATCCAGCACAGACAGCAAACATGGAGAAGCATTTTTTTCTCACCAGCATGGCATCTTGTATCAAGACACAAAGCAGCACTTTGTCTCTATCCTTTGGGTTTTCAGCAGGAATTTAATGGTAGAAATTTCTATTTCTGTGGCTCTTGATTCAGCTGCCATGTTCCTAACACTCAGGCAGTTGTCTGGAGAACACTGAAGTGTCACCATACTTCTGGGCACTCCACAGCCCTCCCCTTTAGCCCTGAGTGTTGTTCCCAATGCCTCCTCTCTATCCAGTTGTGGAGAGCTCCTTCTCTATCAGAACATTCTTGAGTGGACTAAGAGGTAGCCTTTGTTACTGTAGGGCTGTGGAGGTTTTAATGGTAGGTCAGAGGTCCCCATGAGCTCTAATGAACCCATTTATGCTTCCCAAGAAACTCCTCTGTTTTGAGCAAAGAAACCTTCCTGGTGGACCCCACCCATCGACTCCAGATCTGTTCAAAACGACTGCCAATTGTGACGTTTCACAACTTACACATCCTCATGATACTAGGTAATTATATATGAAAGACCCATACCATATCTTCTATTTTGCTCTTTCAGATAAAGGAATATTTGTTATCCAAAGTGAGAGCCTCAAGAAATGCATTCAAGCAGGCAAATCTGTACTGACCCTGGAGAACTGCAAACCACCAAACAAGTACATGATGTGGAAATGGGTTTCCAACCACGGCCTCTTTAACATAGGAGGCAGCGGTTGCCTGGGCCTGAATTTATCTGATCCAGAGCAGCCATTGAGCATCTATGAGTGTGATTCCACCCACGTTTCCTTGAGGTGGCGCTGTCACAGGAAGGTGATCACCGGCCCGCTGCAGTACATGGTGCAGGTGAAGGACAACACGCTGGTGGCCTCCTGGCAAAACCTTCATAAGTGGATTGCCTACATGCCAGGCGGTGGAGGCATTTGTGAATATCTGCACAAAGGTAAAAAAATATATCAACCAAAGTACTCATGAAATGATATATTTAGAAAGTTTGCATAAGTTAAGATTTGCAGAATAGTGTATTATATGAAAGAGGTATACAGCATCCAGACCTTCAAGGGACTTCTGCCAAATACTTTGTAGTTGCTTACTCACTTAATGTAAAAAATGACTGGAGTCTTGGAACTTGCTAAATTCTCCTAAAGAAGCAGAATTTCTCAGAAGTTAAAGTTATCAGGGGAGAAAACACTTCCCTTTGGGAATCAATGGAAAGGGGAGAAAGCAGAGGAGGACAAGAGAAAATTAAGGTGGAAGGAAAGGTCTTTGAAGTTGATGACTTGACGGGATGAGTATAAGAACCTCTCCTGCCACCATTTCTCTTGTTGCAGACACTCAGTCCCAGGGATGGAGTGTGTCTGCAGGCCACTCAGTGCCTCCAGTGCCTTGCTGGCATCCATGTGATGTCACGTTAAGAGATGTTTAAAGACAGACTGTTGTTAGGTTATTTGGTGTGTGCTAGGAAATGGAAAATAATGGGTGTGTTTTTTTGGGGGGGGGTCATTGTTTACAGTTCTGTAATATTTGGCATTTTTAAACAAACAAATGAAAAAATAAATAAATAAAAGCAAGCAGCATATTAAATTTGGACCCCCTAAACCCGTTTCTCAGGTTTTGTTTGGTTGTGCTCTTCATTCTCTCATCCACCCATTCACCTTCTGTCACACATTTATTAAACACTGACTGTTTCTCAGGCCCAGGGCCAGGCATTTGCTTTAAAAGGCCAACGAGACAGATGTGGTCCCTTCCCTCATGGTGCTCAGAATTATGCTTTAATAAGGGTAAATCTTTCTAAGAACTCTCTACCCGTCCTAGGGAGCAGAGCAAGGAACTCCTAAAACCCATGTCAGGACTTTCTCAGGTATCTCCATTATCACTACCTGAAATTATGTTTACTTGTGTATTTGTTTTCTTTTTGTCTCCCCCTTATGAGCAGAAACTCCTTATGAAAGGGAACTTTTGCCAGTTTGTTCACTGTTATATCCTCAGTGCTCAGCACATGAAGTGCTCAATAAATATTTGTTGGATGAATAAATTAATGAAGGCCTGTGAAGCTCTTGAGTTTCAGATGCTGATCGCTGAGATAGGTGATATTTTGAAGTAAAATCTCCATTAAGTTTTCCTTCTCATCCTTTCACAAATGTGTTTGCTTGCCATAGTAGTGCACCATAGTGAATACCCAAGGAGTTAAGTATGTACACACACCATTGTGAACCCGCGCTCAGCCTTGCACATCTACACTCACTGGACAGTGGAGTCCTGAGGGTTCTCTGGTCTAGCAGGAGTTTTGCCCACTGTAGGTTGTCAGTTATGAGAAAAATGCATTCACTCTAGGACAGTTTCCAAAGATGAAGCTGGCATAATACTTATTTGATTTTGTCCTTTTCTTCTCCTAGATTTGTATACACTCAAAGGGAATGCCCATGGGACGCCATGCATGTTTCCCTTCCAGTATAACCACCAGTGGCATCACGAATGCACCCGGGAAGGGCGGGAAGACAACTTACTGTGGTGTGCCACGACCAGCCGCTATGAAAGAGACCAAAAGTGGGGATTTTGCCCGGATCCCAGTAAGAGTGAATCTCCTCTTCCCCCTATGTCATGCATGAATCAAAGATGATTGGGAAGTTACTGTATCTAAAGAAAAGCACAGAGAT